CTCCGGGCCCGTGGCCGAGCAGCCGCCCTTGTCCGTGCTCTCGCCACTGTCTCTGACCCTGCCTCTGCCCCCTGTCCTGTGCCTGTCACCTGTCCCTATCCCTTTCCCTGACCCTGCCTTGGCCGTGCCGCTGGGAGGCCGCTCACCGTCCTGCAGGCTGCCGTACGGCGCTGGAAAACTACACCGTGTCTGTTTGTGTGTGTGTGTATGTATGTGTCTGTGTATACACGATCCTTCAGTCCTAAGAGCTCCTGGGGTGCTGTCTAGGGTGTTTCAGTAGCCTGGCTGTCATCTGGGATTGGAAGTTAGTATATAATGAGACCATACCTTTGTGATAGCACCCCTGTAAAGATAAAAATGTGCCTTGTAGTCCTACTTTTTTACCCGTGCAGTGGCTATTTAGCTCTTCCTCCAAACAGGAGGCACTGACTATTTCTTCGGGGGTTGCAGGTGTAAAGTCTGCTAGAAAAATACGCCAGGAAAACTTTAGGTTAAACTGGAAGGTGGGAGACCTGTTGCTGTGTGTTGTTCATTTAACAAAGGGATTACTGCTGTGGCTAAAGGGATAATACTAGTATGTTGCTCACAACAGTTGTCATCAGATAGAAGAAAAAAAAATATGGTTTTCACTCATGTTCTTGTAATCAAATGTTTCTGTGTAGTGCTAAGCCTATGAAATTTAGTCCCTGTTACATGGGATGATAAAAGCCAAAAATACAAAATGAGAGAGCTCCCAATGATAGCTCTTAACCTGGCACCCTTTTGAGGTTATCAGCAATAAAGCCAAGGGCCACTGGGTCCCTTCTGAGATAGGGTCCTGCAGACTTGGGCTTTTGCACATGCCTAAGATTAGACCAAGGAGTTTCATGCGAGAGTATCCTTTTCTTTCATAAGGTTATTTTTCCTGGTGTGTTTCTGGCTGAAAACCCAACATATTTCTCAGTTTGTGCAACACAAAAAGGCAGAATGAATGCCTTCCTCCTGTTACTCCTCTGTTGTCTCATAAGGTGTGCTTTGAAAAGGTGGCTGTGGTTTGTTGTGTGCCTTGGGCTAGAAACTGATGTCTCAAGCCTTGTGTAAGATGTAATTCAGGTGCAATCTTATTTCTCTTTACAACTGGTAAGTTCTTCTTGTTTCACATGTTTCTCAACATAATAAGATGCATTATTAGGCCCATTCCTCAAACAGAACTTCACATTTCTTTAGAATTTTATGATCTGGAACTTTGACATAAATGATAATGAGAGGTCATCTCCCACATGGACAGTTTTTACCTAATATCAGTTATAGCAGCAGTCTATGTGAGGGTAATTGAAGTTATTTTGATTCAGAAATGATTGATCTGGGATCAGTATGACACCCTAATTATAATATGGCTATCATTGTTAAGATTTCTGTCTGTGTAGAAGACATGATGTAAAGAAAGGTCTAAATAAACAAAGGACAAGTGGTTTTGGTGCCCTTTTACATGTCACTTGAACACCTGGAACTGATGATAAGAGGAGTCTCAGTGTTTTACCTGTACCTTACCTTGTGTTAATGTATGTTGTGTTTGAAGATTGTTTTTTTAAAAATGGTGTAAGACAGTGTGGCTGTGTCTATGACAAGCAAGCCCATGCTGAAGCCATTTGCAAAAGAGGAATGCAGTAAGTTTAGAGGAACAGTATATTTCTTATCTATTGGATCCAATGTCTTCTTGATTGTTTTTCAAATTACTCTTACTACCTCTGTGTTTCTCTAAAATTGTTTACATCTGGCTCACAAGAGGCTTTTCTTGGAGTAGCATGATTGCTTTTTCTTTCCCAAGTGGTTGTCCTTGACACAAGTGAAAAACTACACATGCAGACTAAAGTATAATTCTCGTTAAGGCCTTTTCCCTGTCTCTAGGCAAACACAACTCTAACACTACTGTTTGATCTCTATGCAATAAAACCCCACAGCCATGTTATGACCAGAAGTGGGAAATACAACTTACTGCAACAGAAGAGTAGTTTCTCATATTTACTTATGCTAAGAGGAAAGTAATTCACATGAATTAAGTCTTGTTAGATAAGTTCATCTTTTGTTTTACTACACATTAGGGGTTTTTGTGCCTGTGACCTTCATTATTAGGTATTGACAAACAGTGAAGCAGCTCATTTTCTTGGAGAAAATATGGCTTAGGTCACCCCTCTTTAAAAAAGACTTGCTAAAATTTTGTCTGAAAACACTGGTGTCATTTGAAGCAGGAAGGTGATGAATTCACAAAAAAAAAGGAGTAGCAAATATTAATAAAACAAGAAGAATGCAGCTGAATGCATCTTCTCTAAATGAGTAGAATATCTGATGTTAATGCTTAAATAAAATCAGTGGTAAAATTCCTATTTACTTCAAAGGGGTCAGAATTTCACTCCAAGGTATGCAAAGAATATTTGAATAAGACATAATTCATTGTAGTAAAATAGACAAGAGCTAAAGGCAGACAAATGCATTTGAATTTGTTTCTTGAAAGGTATTTCACAGGTGACAACTGATTTTGTTTTTATATGATATTCATACATGCTTTACATAATACACAGAAACATAAAGGAAAACTTCCTTACATTTTCTTAATTGCCTAAATAAGAAAATTACTGTCCTTTAAGGTGTTTAGAGTTACAGCTTTTAATCTTTTAATTCAGGATGTGTCTTCTAGGATTGGCCAAGAATTCACGTTTTTGAAACATATATTTCCTAATTGTACCTGTGGTTCTTCTGGTTTACAGTTCAAAGAATTGCATTTACAGTACTGTGAACCTGGTATTTTTTCCTTACAAATTCCAGGTTGTTCTGATGTTGATGCCAATATGAATGAATATGAAATTTCAGCTTTGTTTTTTTCCAAAACTCTGTATAACTTTAAAAATGTAAACCACATCCTAAAGTACACAGTAATATATAATATTAGCTAAGTTATTTGCTCAGTGGTGGCTCGGCAAAAAATATGAGAATTATTTTGAATAGGTATTAAAGTGTTCCTGTGAATGCTAATTGTTTAATGATTTTCTTTGCTTCTTACTATTTTCCCAAAGGTGTTTGAAGGTGCTTTAGATCCTGCTACAAAAAGCAAAATACAGAAAGTAAGTATGATATTTGAATAATAGCTGATAATTAAAATTGAAAAAGTAGATCCATGTATTCACATAGTGAGTCTGTTTCTCTGACTGTCTTTCCAGAGTATATGATCTGGTACATGTTGCTCCCTCTTTACGTTGCGCTTATTTGGGCCATTTGAATGTCAGTCTTTATAAGCAAGCTCCCCACAAATCAATTACATGATTTTTCCATTCTTAGGACAGGCTGTGTTCTAAAACTAGTGTGACACACTAGGCTAACCTAACACTGTGCTTTTTATTTTTCTATCAGCAACTTTGCATTTTGAAGTCTCTGACAAGTCATGTCACATTTAATAGTTAGGCAGTTTTTTAAGAGCCAAAATCTATTGCTTGTAGGCAGATGGGGGAGAGAAAAAAAAATTGTCTACATTCTGTTTTGCCATTGCCAGTGGACTTTCAACAGTCAGTCATACCTATAGAAGCACATGGTAAAATATTTTCAATCTTAAATCAAGCTTTAATTCACTTGGAATTCCTTTGTCTTATAAGGGTTTCAGAGTTTTGTCCTTCTGGAGCAAGTAATTCCTGCAAAATCAACAGAAGCTCAAGAAGAAGCCACTGACTGTCCCATTGTCTTGATAGATTGTAAATCCATCAGGTATCAATCACAGAGAATGACTGTCCTGATACTACTTTTATGTATGTGTATCCTAATAATAATGATAATAATATTAGAACAAATACTCAAGGAACCAAAGTAGAAAGTAGGTCTGCATCTATCTTCTTTCTCATCTATCATTCGTCCACTCTTCTGGTTTGTTTGCTGTCCTTCCTCCATTCCTTTCTGTAAGGGTACCTTTTGATTACTGTCCCAGGTGTAAATAGTAAATCTATTCTATCATTCATCCACCCTGCTATAGTTTGTTTTTCATCTCCCACTTTATGCAATAAAATTTAAATTAATTAATTTTGCGTCTTCAGAAAATAAGCAAGTAAATATTTTTCCATAGGCAAGTAAGTATTTTTCCATATGCTAATTGATTTGATACTGTAAAGGATATTAGTATCAGGATACTAGTGTTAGTTTTATGTCATGCCACCTAGTTTTCTCTCCCTTATAAATTTAAAGACCTCCTCCACTGGTATTTATTTCTACTCCATAATTTATTGTATATTGTGGGTACACACTTGAGTAGAAAAAAAATATTTTCTGATTTGAATAATTTGAATAAGTTGTTAGGGTCAATCATGATGCTTTAGTTTCTTCACCATAATTTTTTTGTTTCTGATAGGAGTCTAGTTTTCTTGTTACCTTCAACACAACACAATAATGTAAAATTCATCTTGTTAGATAGTCATCTTCAGGCTTCATATTGAGCATTCTTGTAAGATGGGAAAAAGGCAAATGGACACTGGGTGGCAGATGAGTGCTATTGTTGAAGTTACTGATTATGGAGCATTCATATAGGTTCTAAAACGGCAGACTATTTACTAAAATCGGTTATTATTCTGTTACAGCAAATTCAAAATATGAACTTGATGTTCCCTGTGTAACAAATATTCTTGTACATTTAGTATTTATTTTTCAAGATATTTTGCTTCAGATAGTCATCTTTCCCTTTTCTTTTTGCTTTATGCTTTGAAGAGTTGCTGATATATTAAAGGGTAATTTGTGATATTATTCCTGGTTCAAAAACATCAGTGATATTGAAGAATGAGGATGCAAAGACTAAATTGATATAATCTATTATTATCTCTAAATAAAAGCCTAAACAAGGCAAAAAAAGGGGGGTGATCTGGCTTAGTACAAAGAGTGTTCATTTTCTTGTATGATTACTTTTGTGCAAGCTTTGTGAATATCATGCTGTCAGATAACTAGGTGTAGTGTATAAAGCTCGCTTGTGCCCTTGGTATAGCATATTTTTTTCTGTATGTCAGGACAGAAAAGACTGATCAGTAATAACTCTAAAAGGGATGACACTCTTTTAAGTAATGCCAAAGGATCTAATATCACCAGCATATTCTGGCCCTTTAGAATATCTGTTCTTTATTCTGCATAGTACTGACATATCCTTCTGTTTTCATTTGTGTTTTTTGGCTCTGCAAAAATATGCAGCTTTGAGATTTGGCTTACTTATTGTACTGTTATTGTACTTACTTATTGTACTCTTTCAACTTCTTAAATTTAAAATATATTGTCAAAAGCAAAATGTATTCCTCACAAGAGGAAGCAGTGCCTACTTATGTCCTTGGCTGAAGTCAGACTTCATATGGCAAAATTTAGTATTGCCTTTTTTTCAGAGTGTCAAAAGCTCACAAAAGTTTTTCCTTAGTTGTTGTAAAGCTGGGATCCATTAGAAAGACAGAAAAACAATGTGACTAAAAAAGATGAAATTTGGAATATGATCAAATATGGTAGTCTCATTATTAACTTCTACTGAAAATTGTCAGCCTTCTTGCATGGTTTGCAGGGTTTGTTTTTCTTCTGATTAGAAGTGAACATGTCCTGTTTCTGTAAAGACACAGAACATGTCCAAGTGAAGGCAGCAGCAGCTTTTATAGCAGAATATCCATTAGTGTCACACCTCAGGAAGGCAAAACCCCTGCTATAGTTTCTAAGCCAGATACTTGACAGTGTGCAATATAGCTTGCCTTCTGGGCTGGGAGCCTATTGAAGTATTTTCTCTGTCTGGCTGTGCCACCTGTATGGAGCAGCACTGATCTCCTTTACTCAGAACACAGTTAATAGGCTTCTGAAGGAAGAAAAGAACTAAAGGCAGTGTGGTGTAGGGCTTAACAATACTGTACTATGATAACCCAGGACAATTCATCTCCCTCATTTAAGTATGTACAATCCCAGTCACATTATATCTGGTCATGGTAACCTGGGGTACCTTACTTCTTCCCATCTGCATATGCAGAGTCACACATATGTTTTATGTTATAAAACATAAGGCATGTTTTCTCTTGTGAAAGTAACTGGGATAGCTTGCTTCCTCATCATCTGCACTCAGCTTTGCACAGCTACCAGTGTGGTGACCAGCTGCCAGTCTTGGAATTCAGACAAAAGCAGTGGCATCCCTAGAACAAAACAGAAATTTACACATATATGTAAGGCAAGTCAGTTAATCAGTGCAACTTTTATTATCCACCCCTGCAGTGCTATCCTTTGAGGTGTACTCCCATGCAGTTCTCCTGGTTCCCCATTTGATTAGGGTTTGTGTACTGGAAATGCCATATTCTCATCAAAGCCAAAGTTGCTGAGTGTTGTGCCTTGTCACTGAGAGACTAGCATCACCTTTTTGCTTGTAATACATGGATTACACCCTCAGTTTGTAGGACACTGCTTGCATGCTGTACCATTTATTCGCCAAGTTAACACAATGTTCATTTACTACATGCTGGTACTCTGGAGGAAATGCATTTTGAAAATTATGGTGATTATCTTCCAACACTACTGTATGATGTCTGTTAACAAACATTAGAATATTGTCATTTCATATAATTTTTTTAAATTTTATTCCTTTATTAAAAGAATTTTAAATTCTTTTCCCTGTGTGAGACAACTTCTAATTGTACTGAAAACACCAAGAAATCAAGATCAACATTTAGTAATTTGTGTATAAACACATGCCTTATACATATTTTATAAAATACACACTAGCATGACATCCTCTATCACAACTCTGGACATTCTCTACAACCCAAATAAGTAGTGTGCTGTAAATGTGCTTGCCACAGTAATGTGCCTTCAAATCTTGTAGTTGTGTCCATCCCCAACATACTTTGACTTCTCTGTGATGCTTTGAAAGTTAATAACAGCATCAAATAACTGCTGTTATAATTAATAATATTTTTGTTATTATAATAATAATAATTAATAACTGCTCTGCTAAACCAAATCTTTCAAAACCAGTGTAAACACAAGTGGTTTCCCAATCTCCTATCCTCTTCATTTCCTGTTCAGAAAACAAAGTAACCAGCTGCAGCAAAGTAAAGGTTCTGGGGATATAGTGAATAAGCCGTTTTCTGTAGACGTGGTTATTCTTTTACTCAAGCAGGCTAAAAAACCCTGGTGTTGTTGTATATACAAATATACTGTATTCAAATGTATATCTATAGAAATATATTGTATTCCTATATACAAATACAGGACCAAATGGTTTGGGCTTGCTGCATTTATATGGTTTGGTTTGCTGTGGCTCTCATGAATGCAAACTGAAATGATCCCTGACAATAGAGGATGACAGTACACTAAAAAGTAGCTGCTGTCTTAAACATTTCCATCATCAAAAATTCTTAATCCTGTGGAACATGTGCCATTCCTGTACCACACTTTCTAGGCCCACTAATGTTCCAACTACCACCTGCTTCTGAAAGCATCACTATGTGTGAGATGAGCAGTAGTCTGTCAAGAACATTCACTCATTCATTCACATTTGTAAATTCATGAAGTTTTCATTACACAGCAATGACAATTCCATGTAACAACCCTGACAGCTATTTTTAATCGTGTATTTTTCTTCTTTCGGTAGGGAAAGACTGTGCATTTTATGAAGGGAGCACAGGAGACTTTCTGTTCCCAGAATGCAAGCTGACTCCGGCCTGTTGTGGTATGGATAGAGAATTAGTGATGACAGTTTCTCCTTATTTTCCAGTAAGTTGCCTGAAACTAGTACTTATCATATCAGTCTGAAGAAGGAAGGACTGGAGTGGTAGTGACAATTTTGTGTGGACTGGACTTTGACTATCTCTTTGATCCTTTTGAGCACAGGGGAATGTTCCTGTGCACTTTAGAATATAGAAGTACTGAGAGAATGTACCAAGTATGGGCTATCCTAACAATTAAATTTGTTTGTCACACACTCTAGGCCGGTAGAAGATCTAATTACAAGACATTATATTTAGCTATATACCTTCATCCACAGATGGTGTGAAAGGTCCAGTCACTTAAAAGATTTTCAAGATTCTTTGTACCAGTGGCCTTTGGGGATGCCAGATTTCTATCCATTTTCTTTATCTCATGTACTCGCCTTGTTTTTTTTTCACTTTGCCTGTTCCCACTCTTCTCTTGAGGGTCTTTTATTTTTGTATTTTTGTAAGGCTTCCCACTCCCTATTCTTTCTAGGGTTCATGGTTTCCAAAAGGAGCAACAGCAGCCGAGAATGATTATATTTTCATACTTTTCACTACATTATAGATTAGATTATACAAAAGGAACAATGAAACTGACTTCAGTTTTATCAATGTGAGTGTATTTCAGTATACAATAGCTTTGAACAGGGAGGGTCATCTTTCTTGTGGACTCAGTTTTGCACTGATTCATTCAGAAGGTTCTTGTGCTTATTCCACAAACTAATAATGGCATTATTTAACATCACAAAATCCAGTATTATGTATAAATTGCAAATACAGAAATACTAGAGGTTAAAAAAAATTACTGTTTTTTTTTTTTTTTTCCATAACAGACAATTATGAAGTTCTGCCTAATACAGGAATACTTTCCATACATTTGGAATAGCAATTTATAAATATATGCTCAGGTTAACTAAACATTACTTTGTACAATTCTTCAACTTGGTCCTTAAGAACCTGATGAAGACAAAGAAGGTGGTAACATGTTCGTAAAAGAACAGGTGATTTGGGCTACACTCAAACTAACTCAAATCCAGAGGGAGAAATGGGAGCATCACATAATTTCTATGGCTAGATATGGGCCAGCCAGATGCTGCACTCAAATTATTAATATGTCATCATATTTCCTTCCAGATGTACCTTATTTCTTTCCTTCTTTATCACTACTGCTTGTATTTTTATCCTCTTTGCATAAGGGTAGGGGCAAGTGAAGTTTGAAGGTACTGTACCATGGTCATTCTTGTAGAAGAAAGAGAGGAGCTGCTAGAAGTGCACAGTTCAAAGTCTAAGATAAATGAATGGATGTTGTTGTTGTTGTCAGGCATTATTGGTGTCTTTACAGTATTTTTCATTACATTACCTGCCTTGAAAGGCAAATCTGAATTTCCTTTTCACATTGCTTTAGAAAGTGTCCTTTGAGTTAACCTAGTCCACCACTGTACAAAAAGAGCTGCTAATTACACAGTAAAGAACTGTATATATTTTTTGTAGATCATGGGTTTCTTCTCTCCTTTCTTCACAATACTGGCTTTATGAGGAAGTATCAAAGTCAATACCAAGTGCCTGGGTCATTGCCTGAAACAAATGTTTGGAACATGCTGGCCTTATACATTATATTCACCTTATGGCACAGTTTATACCAATTAAGAGAGCAGACTAAAATCAAAGTGCTGCTTTTCGTAGGAAAACTCCTTTGCCACTGTTATTTGGTAGTGAATTTGCTGCAAGGCTTCTTTGGCTAAAGTGCCTCCTTTAGTCACTTCTGTTTATGCAGTTTCAATGGAGATCTTAATTGTTCAGATTATAAGAGTGATGCATATGCAGTGATTAACAGTTATTATCAAGGGAAAAACATCAAAAATAGAGTTCTGCACAAAGACAATTATTGGAGGTCTTCCACTTCAGTACAGAAGGCAAAATTAGGTAACCATTTGTGGTAAGGATGAAGATCTGATTACAGTTTTTACAACCTATTACAGAGTCTATTTGAGCCTACTTTTACTATTGCATTTGTATCTAGATATCAATGACAAATTTCTGGTGGAAATCTGGTTAATGAATTAGGAATATTTAGGAAAGGAAAAGAAATTCCTGAATATCAAATTCAAAAGACACTTCTAGATACGTTAAAAATATTTTTCTTTTTAGTCTTCTCCTTTTAATTTGGACACAAACCAATCTGTACATTTCAATATTTGGTAAGGATTTAATGAGCAGTTTTTTTCATGTTTTTGAGCTAGGCCTTCTGCTTCCTTCCAAAAACTCTGGGCCTGTTTGCACTTGCTGACAGGACAAGTAGGCTGAGGCACCTGGTGGTATGACAGTATTTATTAGTCTCCCTGGTTCTCCTTGGATCAATCAAATTCCTTTTTTAGTCATTGAAGTTAGTGGAAAGGATTTCTCAGGTTTCATCTGTAGACCTTTGAGTTTAGCCAGTGGGGTGATCCATCTGAATGTTTCAAAGCACTAAAAATTTCTAGGACAGTGTTCTTCTGACTATTTACCTGATATATGTGTAGAGAGGAACATATCTCAGTTGATCAGTATTTCCAATCTAACTTGATAACTATCTAGACTAACTTGGCTTTGCCTAGGTCCTGGTCTTGTATTCCTCAGTATGTGTGTTTTACTAACCCTATATTTAAGAATCGTGTATTTTAAGTGCTACCACAAATATGTTGAGATGTTATGAGTTACATTCTTTAAATCCAGCTATGGAGAATCATGAAATCCTTTAGCTTGAGATGGGCCTCTATAAGCCACTTAGTCCAAACCCCCCTTAAAGCAGGTGCAATTAGAGGAAACTACTTGAAGCCTCATATGGTAGAGTTTTGAATATTTCCAAGGACAGAGAATCCATAGCCACTCTGGGCTGACCACTACCATAGTAAAAAAACTTTTCCCTCTATCTAATTAAAAGTTACACCATTTATTATTGCCCTTCCACTAAGTATCTCTGAAAAAAAGCCTGGCTTAATCTTCCCTATATTCTTATATTAGATAGTCATAGACAACCACCCAATCTCAGAATTGTTTCTATTGGAAAACATTTAATGAAACTAACCCCCTTGCTCACACAGGGTCAGCTAGAACTTGTTGCTCAAGATCATTCCCAGTTGCTCATTGAATGTCTTATAACCTTTCTGGGCAATGCGTTTTGTGAGAACCCCAGCCTTGCTCTGGGGTCTCATGTGGTGGTGAAATTCCTCCTCCAACCCATGCTTCCAAAGAAAAACTCTGCAGGCTTTAGCTGTTCGGTCTCAAGGCAGTTTATTGCTAGTTATCTAACAGATTATGTTCTTGGACTGCAGCTATTTGATCAGCGGCCTGGGTAGAGGCACACACACACCCTGACATCCTCTCTAGCTGCTGTCTTCTTCGTCTCTCTCCTCGCCCAGGGCTGCTGCTATCTTTTATAAGATATATTACGTATAACATGTTTACAATTATTCCCCAATACCTACTACCTACGTTACCAAGTATTTTTTTTATTCTAAACCAATCTGTGAGTGCCAACATCACCAAGAACATGGAGGTAAGGAAAAAGAAGGAGGAAGAACAGGATCAGCCCACTTTCCTCCATCTTAGAACTTCTGACCCCCATGTACAAAGTGAAAACCCCCCTGTACATGTATTAGAACCCCCCTGTACAATACTAAAAAAAATTCCCCTCTACTTTGTAACTACTTTTACTATACTATCTAACCTTTTGTGATTGCTTGTTCCACCTCCAAAGATGGTAACGCATTCCATGGCTCAAACTCAAAATCACAGCTGTTTCCAGCTGCCTGCCAGGGTCTAGAATGCTTCTGACCAAGGCCTGGAACCTCTAAAAATTTCTGAAAGACATTTTGAGTTCCCACAGCGTTTGACCAGACCCACAATAGAACAGTGTTTTCTTGTGTTTAGATGGAATTCCATGGTTTTCAGTTTGTGCTCATTACCTCTTGTCTCTGAGCACCACTGAAAACACCCTGGCATTGTACCCTTCAATCCAACCCCTCAGGTATTTAAACATGTGGATAAGGCACCCCAGGCCTCTCTTCTCCAGGCTGAGCAGTCTCACCTCTTTCAGGCTTTCCTCATATGGAAGATGTTCCAGGCCCCTAGTCATCTTTGTAGTCCTTCACTGTCCAGTAAGTCCATCTTGTTCCTGTGTTGGGGGGCTCATAGCTGGACACAGTGCTCCATGTGTGGCTTTAGTGCTGAGTAAAAACAAAAGACCATGTCCCTCCACATTGTTTTCAATTACCTTCCTACTGTGGCCTAGGAGGCTGTTGGCTGCCTTTGCCATCAGCTTGCACCACTGTCTCATGGTCATCTTGTTGTTCACCAAAACCCTCAAATCTTTTTCTGCAGGGCTGTTCTTTAGTCAGACAGGCCACAGCATGTAACAGTACTATGTGTTATTCCTCCCCAGATGTAGACCTCTGTGTTCATCCTTGTTGATCTTAAAGAGATTTCTCTCAGATATCCTTTTTCTGTCAGTCCAAGACCCTCTGAATCTTACCTTATCTCTGATCTACAATCACCTTATAGATCAGCCAGTCCTTAGTTGTGTACTGTGTACTTGTTGAAAGATGTACTCATGGTTATTGGTGAAGATGTTTAACAGTGCTGGTCCCAACACTGACCCCCTTGGATACACCACAAATGATTTGCCTCTAAACCAGTGATCACAAAACTCTAGGCCTGGCAGGTGGGCTGTCTTAATCCACTTCATTATATGCTTATTTAACCTGTATTTTGCCAGTTGTTCTGTGAGTCTGTTAGAGGAGCCAGTGTCACAAGTCTTACTGAAGTTGAGGTAACCAACTTCCACTGTTCACCCATCATCCAACAAAACAGTTACATCATCCACATTGTGGAAAGTTATCAGATTAGTCAGCATGGTTCCTCTTTGTAAATCCATGTTGACTATTCCTGACTACCATGTTGTGCTTAACCCATTTGGAAAAAGGGTTTCTAGGATTAGTTGTTCCTTTATCTTCCCAGAGATTATGGTGAAGCTGGTCTGCCTGTAATACCCTTGATGTTTCATACTACCATTTTTGAATATGGAAGTAACCTTTTTTTCCCTCCAATCTTCATGAATCTTCCCCAGTTGCCATGACATTTTGGAGGTAATAAAGAGTGGACTTGCAGTGGCATCATGCAGCTTCCTCAGCACTTGTGGGTCCAACCTCTTATGCTCCATGAGCTTATATATGTACAGTTTGTTTAAACTCTCTTTCATCTGTTTTTCCTTTCATAGAGGGCCATGCATGTTCCAAACTTTCCAGTTTTCTGGGGCTTGGGATTCCTCAAGGGCAGTTTTACTAGAAAACATGGAGGCAAAGAAGGGGTTGAGTATCTCAGACATTTCCATGTTCTTTGTTATTGGCACCTCTATGCCATCCAGGAACAGTTTGCATTATCCCTAGTTGTCCTTTTATTCCTTTTTCTATTTGCTACAACTACACATCTAATTCTCTTTTGTTCCCCTTCATGTGCAGAAGTGTTGCCAGATTCAACTCCAGGCTGACCC